GTTGTTTGTGTCTTCCACTGTGAAGACTAACACAAAATAACTGTTTCATGTCTCAGCTATTTCCTCATTCCCATTTATTAAATTGGCCTTCTCATCCTCTAAAGGACCAATGTTTACCTTCGCCACTCTTTTACGATTTACATATTTATAGAAACTTTTGCTGCCTGTTTTTATATTCTGAGCTAGTTTACTCTCATAATCCATCTTACTTTTCTTTATAACTTTTTTTGTGGCTTTCTGTTGGCCTTTAAAGATTTCCCAGTCTACTAGTTTCCCACTATGCTTTTTTTGCCTCTTCTGTTGAATTTAACCATACAGATTTTTTTCCACAACTGCTGTTTAACTAGTTTTGCTCATCCAGAATGCACTATTTTTCATGTTCCAAACTTTCTTCATAACCTCCCAACTTTTGTAATTTCCATTACTGCTTCTCCCCTATATTTCATCTACAGCAATTCAGTTCACTGTAGTATACTCTAAAATTTTCACTGCTCGGGTTTCACTCAGAATGCTTCTTTGCTGGTCTGTTAGGTCTGGTCAAGTGCAAAACCAACACTTGAAGACAATATGCACCTCCACTAGACCTGAGCAATCAACCCTGATTGCCTCACTGTTTACGATCCACTTGTTGGGACACTGGTTCCAATGGACAACCTCTACACCAGCATGTCAGCTGATATTGTTAGGACGTCTATAAACTACTCCTACCAGTGACTTGGATAACTGCTACTTCCTATCTCCATCCAAACCAAACACTACACCTTTTCTGAACAAAGATCATTTATCACTATCGTACAGATCTCATTCTTCATTTACAACATTTCTTTTTCGTCCTGCCTTTGCAAAATGTTAAATACTCTTGAATATTCTGCTTGAACCCTTGGTCACATAGCCATTAAAGACATAGGATTGCAATTACATACTCATTAATTTCCACTTGTGCTACCAATTGATCTATTTTGTTAGGAATGCTGCAAGCATTCAGAAAGAGTGTTTAATTCTTTTTACCTGCTCCGACATTATTCGCAGATGGACACATCTGCACAAGTACTCTGTCCCTTCCTGTCACATGCTGGTTATCATGACTTTTGCCTTGTCCCTTCTTTTTAGCTTTGTGAAAGTCCTTGTACCATGAATCCTTCTCCACTATCTAGTTTAAAGCCCTCTCTACAACCTAAATTACACAATTCACAAGGGCACTGGTCTCAGCATAGTTTATGTGAATGCCACCAAGTGATTTAGACTTATTCAATAATACAATTTGTACCTAGGTACAGTGAAAAGTGGATACTGTCACCACATTCCAGCACCATCTTGGATTACAGAATAAATTACTGAATAAACTGTATAAATACTGAATAAATTAATATTAAACTGATATTACTAAAACTGAAACAGCTTCAAAAGCTCATCTTTCCCTCACTGTAGACTGGTACAGCTCTCTCATTTCCCTGTTCTTTGCTGGTGCCCCATGAATAGAAGTTTTTCTATCCCACATCAACCTGAGTTACACATTCTGTTCTCTGGTCTTATCTATCCACACCTATTTGCTTGTGGTTCAGGTAGTAAAATGCAGAAATTACTTTTCTTAAATTTTGAATTGTTCATGCTCCCTTACTCTCAGTCCTACCTACAATGCTGGGTACCCATGTGGCCAATGACAACTGGATCCTTCTGCTCCCATTCCAAGTTCATCTCCAGCTCCAAGAAGATGCCCTCATTCCTGGCATCAGGCAAGCAACACAGGCACTCTCTTGGATTAAGAAAATCACATTTATCCCCTATTACTATTACATTCCAGTTTCGTTACCCCCACTCCAATGGCCCTTTGCATCACAGTGTTCAGTTTGCTAATTAGTTATGCCAGTCCATACAAACTGCAAGAACATCAAACCTGTTGGACAATTGCAAGGGCAGAGGCTCTGCTAGTGCTACCTCTGAATCTCCATTCCAACCTCACTTGCAATCACACACTCCTGTCCCTGACCATGGACTAAATATCCCCCCATTCCCTTCTAATTTCACTTGCTTCTTTGTTCTCTGGAAAAACACAATTTTCATTCAAGGCAATTGCATTCTTAAAGATCCAATTGGCTGGCCTTTAGTTCTCAGTTGATGATGACATGTGTTACCGACACGTTCTATCTCTCACCTTCAGGTTTGATGCCCTTGTCCCTGGTGAAATCCTTACTCATTCCCAGTGTATATTTTCTGTTTACCCTCCTATGGCTCCCAACTACATTGCCTCAAGTCTAACAAAGGAGAGGCATTAAATGAAACTGTGCAGCTTAAAGAGTCATCCTTGACTGAGTGGTAGCATTCTTAACTGAATCTGAACTTCAGAGGTGCAAGTCAAGCGATTGTTGGATTGAACTTTAAAATACAACCTCATCTGCTCTATAATGGCATGGTAAAGATCTGAAACTATATTTGAGGAAGAGCAAGTAAACTCTGACAGTGTCCAAGTACAAGTTTATCCTTCAGTCAACGTTATTAAAACTGATTAATTGGACAATTCTAGCCTTATTGTTGTGGAACTTTGTACATTTAATCAACCAGTCTTCCACATCACACTAGTGACTGCACTTCAAACGTGTTTGGTGTAAAGTGTAAAAGGATGCTCTGAGATGACAAAACGTACTGTATAAATATAAGGGTGTTTTCTTTCATTAGTCAACAGAGCTGAAGACTATAGAAAGGTAGAGGAGGACTACTGCAATATAATCAGAGTCACAGGATGTCCTCAGAGCTAGCTTCTATTTTATATATATATATGCTGACAAAAGCCCAACTCCATCACTCCATCATCTCCCTCTATTACATAATTGGTTTTGTGCTGTCAGACTGCCCAATATCTAATCTTGGATGGGTCACAAGCCCCTTCAACTAAATATTTAACATAAGAGTTAGGAATATGTCCAGTTTCCCGCATAAAGGCAATGAATTCCATCTTACTCCACTGCTAGCATCTAGGTTGAATGAGGTTGAACGAGGGCATCCTATTCTCCTGTGAGCAGAGATTCCAAATATACAGCCTTTCCATCAACTTCAATTTGCACCATACCAGATTTTGCATGCACCTCAACTGCTGTTGAAACCCTTATCCATGCCTTTGTCACTCCCAGAGTCAACTATCCCAAATTTTCTTCTGGCTAGTCTTTCATCCAAAACTCTCCTGCCCAAATCCTATCCCAAACCTCTCAGGTTATTTGTAGGATTTTGCTGAGAAAAGAGTAGCTGCCCTGTTGCCATACAGCAATTCAAAAAGGTCTTGGCTTTGAAATGCTTTGGAACATCTAGATGTCTGAAGGATAATACACAATATGTAAATTGAAGGCACAGTAGAAGCAAGGCCCAGGCACTAACTTGCTATTCAACTAAATAAATAACACCCCTCGCAACAATAAAACTCTTTGTTCACATAGTTTAATCCATTCAATAACAGTGGAAATAGACTTAGGTAGAAATTAATCCAAGAATATGCTTAACACTGCATGACCATGGATTGAATCATTCAATGCTTTAAATACCAACATTGAAATAAAACTGAATAAAACTGAAGTGTTCTAAACAAACTCCTTTTAAAAGTATAAATTCAGACAATGTAATGTGGTAAGAAGTGGCTGGCACCCAGGAATAATTGGCAATTTTTACTTCACTTCCTCTAGAGAAGCATGTTGTCCAAGTTACTTCCGAAATGGAGAAATTTATATGCTAGATCAGTACAACAGGCCTCAACAGACCCTGAAAAAGCACAAGTTCTGATGAAATCACAGCACAATATTAGCAAATCTTTCAGTTACTGTTGGCTTGTGTTTCTCTAACATCTTTTGAATAATTTTAGCAAATATTTCTCATTAAAATCACAGCTTGCTACAAAGATGGCAGAAAATATCTCACACATTTGAGAAATGTAGGAACAGGAATAGGCAATTCATTCCCTTAAGCTTGCTTTACCATTCTAGATTGTTGCTGATTATCTACCTCAATGCCATTTTCCTGCACTATTCACATATCCTTTAATGTCATTAGTATCAAGAAACCTATTGATCTCTATCTTGAACATACTCATTGATTCCTCTTACACAGCCCTTTGGGCTGAAGGACTCCAAAAATTTTAAAGCGCCTTAAAATCATGCACTAGATAATATAGTAAGCAGCTGAGCTAACTGTATGCTAACTGTTCCATTGTAAAATATCTATTTTGCTTCATCGAAAAAGTGAAGTTGCAACTTTATTCTGAAAATAATTTCACCATAAAAGTTACTCTGTGAGAGAGACACAATTCTTTTACCACAATGTTAACCAGAGCTCTTCAGTTTTACTTTGTTCTATTTTACCATTTAAATACTGCTAGGGAGAAGCAGCCTCGATGGTTTTTTTGTGTTGAATCCTTCATCTGATATTATCACAGCTGGAAATGGAAGCCTGTGGAAAACTGCCTCAACTTAAAAGCATTTTAACATCTGATTCCCAGCTGTCTCTGACAGGCCCATATAGCCCTTTTATAAGCATTATGTGATAATTGAAATGAGTGCACTACCCTCTTACGAGAAATTAGGTTATTATGAAGTCCATACCCTGATGGTGTATAATTTGACAAAAGGAAATCGAACTGTTTTAAAAGGGAATTTATATTTCCTTTCTTTTGTGTTTTCTCTTGTTTATAAGACAATTTGCTCCTTGTAATCTACCATGAAACTAGCTTAAGTCATCTTATTGCCCAAAATATATCTCTAACTAGGTTTTTTTTTACTAAATTTTGTAAACAGTATGTATTAGACTATAAAATCAATTTCAATACCATTCTTTTATTCTAAGGATAAAGCCTTTGGAAAAAAACTAAGCAGAATTAGGATTGAGGAATGTCAAATGGGAGGTTTCAACAATTTTAACAATGCAGTACATTCATTCCCTCCCCACCTAAACATAAAATCTCATGCAAAATTCAAAAGACTGTGGATTACTTAAAAGTATAAACTGTAAAAATAAAATCTTACGATGCTCGATCATGGTTCATTCCATTCTGTTGCTGTGGTTTCTGGGAACTGATTGGTGGCAAGATTGGCTTGGTGTTCATCTCAAGACCCCTACGCAAGACCTCTCTGATCTGCTCTGTATCTGAAATTAGAAAAAGATGTTTCAAGTAGTGATCAGAAATCCTCAAAAGAAAGACATTATTCATTTCTACTCATTGTTTTACTTAATCCTACACACAACGTTATTTTGTGCAGACAGTTTAACAGGGTTATGACACATCTCAATTCTTTGAATAAAAAATTCAAGGAATTGATCAGTGGTTTTGAGAGAGAAGTATTCAGGCTGAAATTAGAAACACTACACTCCTATTTTGCCTTGGCGAGGGGCAAGAGTATAAAAACATTGAATGGGTTCAGCTTGTTGATGCACGTGCTGGATCTATAATCAAGCCATTGCTGGAATTATTGTACAAGTCTCCATTGCAGTGAATTAAGCTGCTTAGCAACACAATTCCTCTCCATAAACCATTGCTTTCAACTTCCAAAATGCCAAAGATGCAAATATTATTGCAGCATTCTTGGTTATTAATTTTGAAAACTTTATCCCAGTTGATAGAACATTTAAGCTCACACTCTCTTGCCTTCAATGAAACATGAAACCAGATTTTTTTTTGGTATTGCATTTCAAAGTTGTGCTGCACAGGTCTATACACGTGCATAGAAGTTGGACAATTATGAAAGTTCCATGCCAGTCCATCCAGGCTTTAAGTCCAAGTGGCATTTGAAGGGCATGATATTTTGATTTGAGGCCATTAGGCAACCACACTGCTCTGTCATGTACTATCTTAGGGTTGGTCACCTTTTAAGAGATGCCATGCTGGCAATGGATAACTTTGGGATTTGTCCTACTGTGGCTGCTTGCACAGGCATAGGGAAGGTGTTGGTATCGAGATTGCAGAATGCATTTGCTGTGCCCAGTATGTGGTGATGTGAAGGGGCAAAATACCTCTGTGAGGGCTCTAACAGTGGACTCAAGCTCTGCCCTTTCTTGTGATCAGGGAATTACATGTTTAAACTCAAGGTTTACCTTTGTCTGACAAACGTCTTGGCTGCATTTCAAGATAAATGCTCCTGCTATCTTCTTCGTCTTCTGGTGGGCGGCTTAGATCCACCCAAGCACATTTTGCACTCACACCACTCAGGTTTGAACCATCAGTCTCTATGCCTTTGTCCACTCTTTCCTTTGAGGGGAAAATAAAAGTAGTACAATATGTTTGATTATATGAATCACAAAAATTAAATTTCAGTCAGATAATTCATTTTATTGTTACAGAAATTGTAAAACATTTCGTGTGTTTTATATTCAGATGATTCATTATAAAGCAATAGTCCTGGAAAGTTATTGTCTGTACATTAAATCTGTTGTTATATTAGTGCATTGTACTTCAAAAGTGCTAATTCCTAAGTGGTGAATATTTTATCCAAATTATGCTTATTTTCATTGTATTTCAGGAAGAAATGTCCAAAGAAATGTTAAACATTACATTTAATACCACATCTTTACACAAACTCGATGAATAATTTGATTTAACTATTTCAGAAAATTATAAAAGTAAAAAAATTATGTATTGACATTGTTAGCCAACATACTGCATCGCAAAATGAAGAACACTGCCTGGTTCCTGTGATTTCCTCACAATGTTTCCATCTGAACTGTGCCTGTATAGGAAGGCACTTGGTCAGGATAAGTGGGTAGTGGAGAACTTGCTGCCATAGGCATACAATCAGTGGAAACAAAGACAAAGACAACACCAATAAAGCATATTTACCTTTTAAAGAAAGGAACATTTCTATTTCTGTTGTGAATAATTATTGTCATAAGTAAGTTTTATTTACAAGTTAAAAAAAACAAATATTGCACTTTAAGTGGCAGGCTTATGTACACTAATTCTGAAGATCAAACAAAAGTATTTTTGGGAATGTGTGAAATCTGAGAAAAAAGATATAATTGATACAAGTGAATAATTACTTGCAGATGGGGGTCAGTTTCAAATATAGTCTCTCCTCTTCGCATGTCTGTGATTAGCCAAGAGCCACCTGCACTGTAAAGCAATTTATAATGTTTTAGATATCCATACTAAATCTCTAGCATCTGCCTCATGTTTATTGTAATCTTGAGAAGCAAACATTTAACAAATTAATTAAAACGAATTTCACTGAATAATAATGTATAACAAGTATGTAAAATTCTTGAAATTGCTTGGTAAAGTCTGCCTTTACATTGTACTTTGTCAAGTGCACCCTGCAATGAATTTAGTATGTGGCCTGTCCCAAATTTGCGTGTTCTTTTTTTCAAAATGGCACCAACATATATACACACTGACTCGGTTATGATAGATTAAAATAATAATTTAATCAGAAGCATGATTGAACAGAATTTCCACAATCTCTTAAGCAACGTCCCCAAACATCTCCATGGCTCATCGTTTGGTTGTCAAAATCATGGCAGTGGTCCTTTGTCCAATAGTTACTGCATTTTCAGGATTTCAAAACTTGCTATGGTATTAGCTGTCAAGTCTTCACTTTCATTAACACACTAATTAATTATTGGGTTAAATTCTTTAGGTACAGGTCATCAAAAATTGATCATTAATTTTCACACTTGAAAAGTTCTCGCTGATCAATTTTGCATTGCAATTAATTCTAAAATAAAAACCAATTCAAAATATTTCCCTGTCAATATGGTACATTTATCCATGAAAGCAACTACCTTTTTGCCATCTTTAGCTTCGTCATTTTCAGTGACAGATTCTGTATTGAAAGGGAACTGCACATGTTGCGTTTTCAAACACATCTTTACCGGCCTAACCTATGATCTTCCCACTGCAACTTCTGCCTAAATACAGCTAGACCTGAAAAGAATAAACCTGGCTTGCATATACACTGTTTACATTTGTCACTGTTGCCAGATATAATTGATGTGATAAGTAGAAGTCCCACTCTTGGAGATGACGGCTGATTCACAGGCAAAAGCAATACACTGTTTGTAGCAGGCTGGTCCAACATTTTTACCCTGCGACACACATTTCAATTTTTCTCCACAACAGGAAACAATCTTTCTGCATCTACCCTGTCACATCCCCCAAGAATCTTGTCTGTTTCAATAGGTCGCCTCTCACCCTTCCAAATTACAATGAGTTCACACTTAATCTACTTAACCTCTCCTCATAAGGCAGACCCTAGTGAACCAACTATCTTAAAAGCTAGTATATCTTTCTTTCAATAAGGGGCCCAAAACTGCTCACAGCATTTCAGCTTTGTATAATTTTAGCAAAACTTCCTAATTTTATTTCAAAGGGAATGGAATATAAAGGCCAACATTTCATTCCCACTGAACTTGTACGCTAGCTTTTTGTGATTCATGGACAGGGATTTGGGAGTCCTCCTTACGTAGTTTTCTGGAGTATTTCTTCATTTTAAATAATATTCAGCTCCTACATTCTTCCTGCCAAAGTGCATAACCTAACATTTCCCCACAGTATATTCCATTTTCCAAGGCATTTTCCCCCCCACTCGCTGAACCTGTCTATACATCTTTGCAGAGATAGTAGGAACTGCCGATGCTGGAGAATCTGAGATAACAAGGTGTAGAGCTGGCTGAACACAGCAGGCCAAGCAGCATCAGAGGAGCAGGAAAGCTGACGTTTCGGGTCTAGACACTTCTTCAGAAATCATATACCTATATCTCTATACACCTTTGCAGGCTCTTTGTGTCATCCTCACCACTTAACTTACCACCTATTTTTGTGTCACCTCCAACCTGGCTACAATACATGCATTTCCTGATCCAAGCCATTAACACAAATTGTAAATAACTGTGGCCCCAGCACTGAGCCCAGTGGCACACCACTTGTTACAGGTTGTCATCCTGAAAAATGCTCCCCCCCCACCCCATCCCAACTGTCTTCAATTAGTTATCCAATCCTCTATCTACGCTAATATACTTCCTCCAAATTTCATGTGTTTGTGTCTTATTAATAACAATGTGTGGTACTTAGCAAACATCTTCTGAAAATTCAAATGTATTACATCCATTGTTTCCCTTTCATCTATCCTCCTTGTTACCTTGTCAAAGCATTCTGGTAAATTTGTCAGGCATTATTTCCCCTTCATGAAGATGGTGACTCTGCTTGATCATATTGTGTATTTCTAAATGTTATGCTATTACATCCTTTAGAATACGCTCTAACATTTTCCCAATAGCAGACATCAAGTTACCCACCCTACAGTCATTTTCCCTTCCAAAATAAAAAAGTGTTACACTGACAATTTTAGAATCCTCCTGGACTTTTCCAGAATAAGGATTCCTGAAAGATTGTAACCAGTGCACCCACTATCTCTGTAAATTATTTTCTTTAATCTCTTAGGATGCATCTTATCAGGTCCAGTAAACATATCTGTCTTTAGCCTATTAGTTTCCCTAGTGATTGTTATTGTATTTATTGCCACTCCTTCTTTTGCCCATTGAATACTTAGTAATTTTGAAACGCTATTAGTGCCTTCTACTGTGGAAACCAGTAGAGCATTTGTTCAACTCCCCTACCATTTACAGGTTCCCCTAACTTTATTCTCTAAGGGGCTTATAGTCACATTAGCTTTGCTTTTCCCTTCTTTACATTCAAAAGAAGTTCTTGCTGTCTGTCTTGATATTACATGACCAGCAGACTCACTGCCATTCCCTTTTCTAGGTCACAGGGTGAAAAAAGTTATGGATGGTTGGACAACCCAGCATTTCTCTGACCAAAGACAGTTTCTCTTGCACTGCTAATAGGCTTACTGATCCTAACCTCCTGAGCCAAACAATCAGCAGCAAACATGGGATAGAAACATTTTGAGTGGGATAGCATCTTGCAAATGTTCCCCAAAGATACTTACCTGTATGTGATTTATGGATCACCAGATAGATAGGACCCCTTAGAAGACTGCAATCTGGCCCACAGGCCATCTGTTGGACGGACCTAATTTATACGTTAAGGTTACTTTAATTGTGCTCTTCAACACAGAGATAATCCTTACATATAGCATGAAAAAAATGGCATTATGGTATTTAAGGATGTAACCTATTGGTGTAAAAAGAGGAAAGCAGATGAATGCCAGAAGAATTTAGGAGCGTCGCATTCATCAGAATATCAGACTCAAATCAACAACTGCAACAGATATCTCGTGTCATCAGATCAATAGCTCTAAGATCACTTCTCTCGCTGTGCAAATCAATATTGCTGCACTTTCCATCATAATTACACTGGCTTACTCATTGATCAAGATGGCCAAGAATGCACTAGATTCTCAGGCGAGTCTACTAATAGGACAGCATCATCAATACTTTAGGAATTGCAAACGATGCTCCCCATGTCTTGTAATGTTATCCAATATATCACCAATAAAAACATTTTTTTTTATGGTAATGGTATTCCAAACAACAGTGAGCTCTCATTTTATTAAATATAGAATGAGTGATTTAAAGTTCAAGATATAGAAAATCATACAGACTGTTAGATTGTCCAATAAAAATTGTGTTTCTCATTCTTTTAAAACAAAAGAAATTTTCCATAAAGGCAGGATTTTACCATAGCAATGACTTGAATTCATATTGCATCTTTAATATTAAAGAAGGTTTTCTCATGAGCATATTCAGATAACTTGGAGAAAGAGACTTAGAAAGAAATATTAGTAGTGCCATGACAATTGTTTTCGAAAATGTGCACCAATAACGGGGAATAAAAACTGTTTTAAACCAAAGAAACTGTGGAACAAGTTGTATCTACAATGTTGCCTTATTCAAGCAGTCTTTTAATTCTTCGCCGCCACCAGCCCCAGCACCGCAAAGGACTAGTTGTTACGGGCTCAGGATAGTAACAATCCTCAGCTAGTGGCTTCAGTCTTGTACAGGGACAATGCATCAGACACATCCAGCTTGCAAAGAAAAAGGGCCTCAATCTCTCTCCCCCCACCGCCCCTCACCACATGGAGAAATGACGGAAAATCTCCCAATAGCTGTTTGCACTCGCCGTTTTCCTTCAAACTGCACTCTCTGCAAATTACCCAGTGAAAGGAAAGATAGGGAAAAAAAAACCTTTGAAGATGCTAAAAATGGCAGATTCCAATTGGTGAATATGACACAAAACTACGTGGAAATGCATGTTGTGGGGATGATGCAAAGAGGCGTCTGGAAATCAGGACAGAATGATTGAGCGAGCCAGAGCATGGCAAATGGCACATAATGTGACTAAGTCTGAGGTTATTCACTTTGGTAAGAGGAATAGAGGTGCAGAGTATTCCTTAAAAGATGAGACACTGGGATGTGTTATGTCCAAAAAAGACCTCAGTGTTCTTGTTTAGTCCCTGAAAGCAAGCATGCAGGAGAAAGCAATTAATAAGTCAAATGGCATGTTGGCCTTTATTGCAAGGAGATTTGAGTACAGGAGTGAAGATGGCTTGCTTAATTCAATAGAACATTGGTATTAAAATGAGAAGCAAACCATTCAACTCCGAGATGAGGATGAATTCCTACACCCAGATGGTAGTGACTCTCTGGAGTTCTCTACCCCAGAGGTCCTGTAGAAACTCGATCACTGATTAAGTTCAGGATGGAGATTGATAGATCTCTAGATACTAATGTAGAGATCTAAACTAAACACAATGGTGATATTGCAGGAAAATGGTGATGAGGTAGATGATCAGCCATTATCTAGACTGGCAAAGCAGGCTAAAAGAATGGCCTCAAAATGCCCCCAAGTTCAATAAACCCCTGAAGATGGGAGCTAACGTAGATCAATAATGATGCACAAATAATTATAAAGTGTGCATCATCCAAGATGGTGATAGCAATGGTGATATACCATATTTAAAATTTTATAATAAACTATGCTTCAAAGTATTTATATAGTTACAGAATTGAAAACAAGGATACCTCAGCACTGTTGATTTTAGAACAAATATACCAGTAATTCTGTAAACAAACATGAAACAACAAATAAATCTGACATACAGAATAAACTATGGTTGTTATTGAGAACAAAGACAACAACCATCAAATAATATTCACAAGTTTCTTAAAAGTAGCACTACGTGTAATATGTTTTTTTCACCTATCCTAGTGAATAATCCTGAACTATAGGCAGAAGCTTAAAAAAAACAATGAATATGTACACAATAAATGTGCTTATAGAATTCATCTATATAAGAATCCAGAACCAAACTTATTTTGACATAAATTGGTAGAATATGTAAATATGTTTTCTAAACACTTTCATACAAACTCAAAGAAGGAGCGAGAGAAGACCATATGACCCCCTTAAGCTGGATCTGCCATTCAGTGAGATCCTGAATGATCATCTAGCTCAACTTGAATTCCTACCATATTCCAGGATTTCTTAGTGTCCAAAAATCTGGCCAGCTCTGTAAATCTGTCAGACGATAAGCTATGTCACTTTTTAACTGACTCTGTGTATGCCACGGTGGCTCTGTGATTAGCACTGCTGCCTCACAGCACCAGGGACCCAGGTTCAATTCCAGCCTTGGGCGACTGTCTGTGCAAACTCCACACATTCTCCCCGTGTCTGCGTGGGTTTCCTCTGGGTACACTGGTTTCCTCCCACAGTCCAAAAATGTACAGGTTAGGTGGATTGGCCATACTAAATTACCCAGTGTCCAGGGATGTACATGTTAGATGGGTTAGCCAATGGAAATGCAGGGTTGCGAGGATGCGAGTGGGATGCTCTTCGGAGAGTCGGTATGGACTTGTTGGGCCGAATGATGTTTCCACACTGTAGGGATCCTATGATTACAAACTGAGCATGAAAGATTTGCAACTGACTTACACTGGAACAGTCCGAAGAAGCTCCAAGATCCCTTGGCCATTCCATTGCTGTGCTGCTTGAAGTTCTTCTGTACAAACTCCAACAATCTGATAAGGATTAAACATTTTTAAGGAAGGACTTAGAGAAATTGTACAAGTTTCATTGCATGTAAATATGGCAAAACTAAATTATATTTCAATTTAGAACAATCAAAATGGTAATCAATATTCTATGCTTCCTGGACGCCAGCAGAAATTTTACTAGAAAGACATTTTTCTAACCAATTGAATTTTACAATCTCCAATCTAAATCTTTATGCTATTTATTGCAACATAGGACTGCAAAAATTTATTTAAAATTCAAGAATTTCAAAATGGAGGGCTACAGCAAACTTAACTGGAGATGATGTATAATGGTAATGTCAACAGAATAATAAACCAGAGGCCCAAAACAAATGCTCTAAGGACTCTGGTTTAAATCTCACGAGGGCAGCTGGTGGCATTTGAATTCAATATCTAGAATTGACAACAGTAATGATGACTATGGTATTGATCATAGAAAAAGTCCTAACTGGTTCATTAATGTTCTTCTGAGGAGGAAATCTGGCTTTAATTCCGAATCCACAAACTACCCTCTGAAATGACTACACCATCCAACCTGTTCAAGGGCAACAAATGCCAACCTTGCCAACATCACATTAAATAAATAAATGTTAAAACGATTCAGTAACAAATTCAAACCTGGAAATGTCATCAGGTTTGCTCCCAAACAATTCAGCCTCTTCAGGAAAAAAAATCAAAAGGGCTAGACTTTGAACAGAAAATTATCTGAAAGCAAAACCACCTCAATTTTAAAAATGTTCTTGATAAACAATATTGTGGTCACATTGCTCATTTTTAAAGCCACTAATTAAGTATACAGTAGATTTAAGCTTGTATATTGCTGCCTGGCTTACCAGAATGACATGAACGATTTGCCAAAAAGAAATGTAAACAGTTGAGAATTTCTTTTAAAATTTCATAACAAAATGCAATTGTTAAATGCATAATGTTCCATTATTAAGACATTTTATAATGCTGTTATGAAATTACATATTTCTAGAATCAGGAGTAATCTTTAAAGTAAGTCAAATACTGTGCGTCTTTCCTTCCCACACATCTCCTAACTCCAGGAAGATTGTAACTTGATGCAAGTTGTTACAGCATCAACAGGAATTCATTAGAACATGTACACTTTAAAACTACGAGTTTCTACAGCACACAGATTTACAGCGGCAAGATTATCACTTACACAGTATTAATTCCATACAATTCAGTCATTCATAAACTCAACATTTTCCTTCGATTTTTGGAGAAAGCATATAGAGGATACCAAACATTGTGCATTTGGAAGTCTATCTCTTCATGGAACGCAGAGTACATGAATTAATTTGCATGCAATTGAGAACTAGGAATTTAGAACACTGCATGTAGGAATTTGGATAACAACTTTGACTATTCTTAAAACAGCAGATGCACTAAGATATTTATATCAATAAGACTGCTGAGCCAGTTTCTGCAACATAAGTCGCATCTTGCTAAGCTTTTGTTTGAAAAAGGACATTCAAAGGAACTTCAAGCTCATACAGTATCAAACTGCGTTTTAAAGAACAAATGCTGAAAGCATACAAGAGAACCTGGAGGTAAACCTCTACTATTCTATTCCAAAAGAAGTACAGAAAGATAAACAGCTGGGTGCACCAAAAAAAATTCTGCTCCCTCTCCCTTCCGAGTGAGTTTCTCAAATTCTGCTTCCCTGTAGTAACGCAGCATGGATGTAAAATCCACATCTCACCACTTTGTGGTGCTATGCATTATTGTTTCCAAAGAACCTGAATTAATCACACAACCAACAAAATAAATCTGTATCTAATGAGCCAAATCACACTTTGTCCCACAGTTCAAAATATTTTCATATTAAATCCCAGCCACAAAGCAACTGTCACATAAATTTCATGTCAACCCTAACATTTTCAAGTAATTTTGGAACCTGGCAATAGGGTTCCAAGATATCAAAACAGACCAGGAAGTTTACTAAGTTCCCTAAAATGCTTGACACTTCAGAGGGTTATGTTATCATTTGCTCAGGCAGCCAATGGTCAGCAAGCACTGCAACAGGAATCTTCAGTCCATATTTTTACCTTTCTCTCCTCTTTTCAAAAACTCCCAAAAACGTTTTGTTCGCCAAGCTCTCAATCATTTGTTCCAATATAGCCCCAGTGATGGAGAGTTGTTCTAAAGCTACAGAGTACGTAATGGCACTCTCAGTGCTACAGACATAACCATGTGCCTGCTTTATTAAGTTAATTAGTGTTAGTAGATTAAATTATTGCCAAAACTCAAAGCATAAGATTAGGCAGCTATTTTCCACAATGTTTTAAGCCTGATATCCTCGACATAGCAAATTCCAGTTCTGAGATGATACAGACAAAGGTCAAGTCTTCCTCATGTGGGAAGTGAGCACAACTCAAAAATCAGTAAATGAATTGCCCGAGACATTCAAACCCACAGTCTTGAACCCAAATCCAGTTGGTCATTTACCTCAAACCAATACATTTTCTGTCCGAAGTGTCTCAATCCCTCAAAAACATCAACTGCAGCACTTATAGATATAACTACTTTATATTAATCTCCTAACCATTGATGTCAACATGTCCGAAACGCAATTGCTGATATCCAACGTTCATTTATCTATCATTCCTATTCCGACTGACATAAACCCCTCCAGCTTTACAGACACTCTATCCTTTGGTCCTCCAACTTCGACCATTTCTTGCCCCCTTTTCCGTTTACCCCATAAAATCTTCAGCTCTACTCTTAATACCCATAATCTCAAGAAGAACCTGCTTCAAATCTACTGCTTTGAACAAGTTTTTTGTATTTATTTCCATTAGCCCACCTCGCAAATCACCTTCGAGAATAATCCATATTAAAGACAATAGATTAATCTAAATTATTGTCATAAGTCCTCCTGAATATGCAGTAGAATGCATTTATCAAGAAAATTAACAAAATTTCTTGTAGATTAAAAGAAATATCCATGCAACTGATAAAGAAAAATAATTATCATCCACAATTCTATTATTGAACACATTAGATAATTACCTTGATGAACGTCATCTAGAACTCAGCTCAATATTTTCCTGGGATGTTTTGGAAACCATAAGCTTCTGTTCTGATGACAAAGAATTCTATTATTTAATAGTCAGCTTATTTTCCGAAAGTAAATGGTGAGAATGGGCCAGATATTCCTGTGTTTTCAGAAATGGAATTGTTTGAGATTTGAAAGGTCACACTTGTTTTGGCACAATTTGTTTCAAAGAACTTTTCAAATGGGAACATGAACAGCGATTCTAAACAAGAGTCGGGAAAATGGGTACATAAAGAAACCTTTTTTAGTTCTGAGGAAGGGTCACCAGACCTGAAACGTTAACTCGGTTTCCTCCTTCACAGATGCTGCCAGACCTGCTGAGCTTTTCCAGCAACTTTGTTTTTGTTCCTGATTTACAGCATCCACAGTTCTTTTGGTTTTTAAAATAACCTTTATGTTCTTCTTGCAGACTTTACAATTTTCAATTGCAGAGCACCCATCATGAGCAATATTGGAACAAATTATTTGGTTGAGACAATACCTGGAGAAATGCAACTGTTCCAAAGGGTGTATGCACTGGTTGCAGCTGCGGGTCCTCTGTCAGCAACATATGTTGGATTCTGGATTCACTGTTGTCCAAGGGACTGTGCCAAGAAACATGATCACCACTGCATAACGTGTTTTCTGTGTGATTTAAAAAAAAAGCTCAAAGTGGAATACATTTGATTTCCTTCTCTACTGTTTATGGTTGATCGCATGTATTATTTGCGGGTTGCAGATTTTTTTAAAATATCAATTTAGGAAAGTATAGACTGTTTCTCCACACCCTCCCAAATAATGGGTGGAATTTCATTGGGGTTTGAGGGATGTGGGTTATGGTCAGACTTGTGGCAAATTGGACAAGAACTCTAGCAAGGCCTATCTTTATGATGGGAGCATCGCGCTACATCTTTTACACTTTTGCCGAGTGATGAGACAAGTTTCTTGCTAGGCAGCACTAACTGACAAATTAAGGAGATTAGAGCTTGTTATACACTTTAACATTGCAACTAACCTCATTAGTAGTCAGCTTCCTTTCTTACCAAAAGCGCCAAACAAGCTAGATGCTGAGAATTCTCAATATGCAAGTTAGAGTGAGTAACTGATGACTTCAGCTTGTTGCTGGCTGTGAACAGTCTCCATGTTGGACACTGGGCACTAACTTTGCCAGGGCATGCTCATAGACACCACATGCCACATCTACGGACATTTGTGTCATGAGGTTGGCAAATGTTGGAAGCCACTTTGGTCCACTCACAGCATGCTGCTGCACTTCAATGCTGCACTCAGGCTGCGTCAGCAAATATCACTGCAATGCTTCAGCAAGGACACTGCACTCAGGAAAATGCACCAGGTTCACTGCCTGAACCAAGACGCATCTCCAGCCTGCTTATTTGCTGTCAAAGCAATCATTCACATTGAGCCTATTTGGACGCTCACAGCATCCCTGCCATGCACTGTCTTGCCATGCAAGTTAGCGCAGAACAAAGCTAGGAATCTTGTCATACTTTCAGCAGTCCTCAGTCAAGTCAGTGGAGAAAGCCTCCAGTCAAAGCATCCAAGCACAGTAAGTCAAAGAAAGCTTTTGACACCAGTCCTCTCCTCATAAGGGGTGAGGAACCAAACATTAGGCAGCACACTACCTTTCTTGTCACATTCTGCCTTATTGTAAGGCCTTTTCCTCCTAGAATGAAGGAGTGGCAGGTAATTATGGAGCTGAAAGTGGGTGGTACAGCTGTTATTTTTGTGCAGATAAGCAGGTGTCCCGAGTTGGCAGCAGAGGGCATGCAGGGTTAGTGGTGTCAGGATGGAAAGCAAATGAGGGAAGATATTGCAGGTAATAGTGAGGATGGTAGAGTTTGAGCCTTGGACGAAGGTGGGGACAACAGCAGAGATAGTGAGTGCATGAGATATCTAAGAGAAGATGATGGCACTTAGGCTGACAAAGTGGAGAATTCATTGACGTTCTTCCTACACTGCTGGACAATCCTCCATATAGCTTAGACTGCACAGATTCAGGCAACTTTGGGCCAAGCTGGTATGGTCCGGTGTTGTGCCACCACTATTAGTCCTAGAGGAAGAGGACTTTCTGCATCTGCACTATCCTGTCCAGCAAGGCCTCCCTGTTTCTGCTTGCAAATGCAGCACCTTTTCCCCTGTACGCAATGTCCTGGGCAAATGTCAGGAACTGCACAGAGCAATTCAGACTGACAGTGCTCATTTGGGTTTAAAGATAGTGCGGGCATAAGGGATGCCAGTCTCTCGGTGGTTATGTGGGGGTGTGGCAAATTATTTCATGAACAGTACATGGTAAGATAGGGATATGAGGTATACAAGATGGGGGGTGGGGTTTGGAGTTCATAAGCTGCATTTGGTAACACATGGCAAGAAATCTCCCTAGATCTCACGTTGATAATCACTCCAACACTCCCAACGCAACTTTCACATAGCCAAGAAAAATAGCTTGTGTCTGAAGAGTTTGCTTCAAAGGCTTCCTGAAGAGCATTATTGAATTTCCTTAATTAGTCAGTGAATGAATACTTCCTGACTTGGCATTCAGCACAGGTTTAAGGGTGGGCAGGACTGGCAGCTCAACATTCCAGGGTATAGAAGTTTCAGGCATGAGAGAGGTACACTGTTGCATTATTGATAAAGGAAACCATCATTGCAATAATGAGGGAAGATGTCTTAGAAGGCTCTTCAAATGAAACCATCAGAGCTAAGAAATAAAAAAGGAATGATTACTTTTCTGGGCTTATACTACAGGCTTCTTGTAGGAAACAGAGGAGCAGATACCTGTCAAGATGCCTCTTAAACATTGCTATTGGATCCGTCTCCACCATCTCCTCTGGCAGTGCATTCCAGGCACTTACCACCCTCTTAACTTATCTTATCAAAAGGCCACTTTGTGTTCTTGCTTTCTATTATCTTGATTAAGCAAAGGATTCATCCATTCTAATGATCTGTTTACTAAGTGGGTTTCAGAAATGCATTTTTGAACAAATGGGATAAAAACAGCATTATTTCTTTTCAAATGACTAGCCTAAAAACACACAATGGAACCAGGATAGAGCCACCACTGGAAAGAGAGTCTATGCTAGGTGTTAATGCTCAGAATATCTAAAGACTAACAAAGAAAATATCTGTTCCAGTAAGCATATAACATTAAACAACGAGTGGGTATTCTTGTTTCATTCTTTCAATAGAAATTACATTGTTAGTTTTCTCAGCAGCTAAGCACCTGGGCTAAAAATTTATTCTTACTTTATATTCTTTCTTACTTAGTAACTGCCTTACTTTATACAGCAAATCAACCTAAACACAGCCTTTTTAAAAAAATTGTACAGTTGCTAAAATGGTCATGTGACAGCACACTAGAATGAAATATAAACTATAAAGATTCCATTCTTGGCTCTTTATGTCAGGATATTATACATGTCAAATGCTCAATTGATTCTACGGTGAATAATCCCCACAACGCATTACTGCTCTGGTGTCTCCTGGGAAAAACATCACATCCAGACCAGGTTTTTCACATGCTAATATACCAATTGTAAATCCACCTGTTTTCTGTCAATTTTAGTAAATGCTATGCCATTTTCCTTGCGTATCCAGCAAATACCATAAAATTGCTAGTGACAGGTGAATAGATTGTTTGTTTGTTTTCAAATATAGAACGTGAAAGGATTGATCAAACCTGAACACATTTCTGATGAAGTTTTGGGAGCATAACAACTTTAGCAGCATGAAATGTGGGCTCCATGCTCTAAGGCAAGTTGGTCCAAGTGGGGCAGGGCATGTCAATCCAGGAGGGGAAGCACAGTTAGGTAAGCGAATGAATTAGCTTTACATAGACTTTCTTTCCAGTGGTGGCTCTATCCTGGTTCCATTGTGTGTTTTTAGGCTAGTCATTTGAAAAGAAATAATGCTGTTTTTATCCCATTTGTTCAAAAATGCATTTCTGAAACCCACTTAGTAAACAGATCATTAGAATGGATGAATCCTTTGCTTAAATCAAGATAATAGAAAGCAAGAACACAAAGTGGCCTTTTGATAAGATAAGTTAAGAGGGTGGTAAGTGCCTGGAATGCACTGCCAGAGGAGATGGTGGAGACGGATCCAGTAGCAATGTTTAAGAGGCATCTTGACAGGTATCTGCTCCTCTGTTTCCCATAAGAAGCCTGTAGTATAAGCCCAGAAAAGTAATCATTCCTTTTTTATTTCTTAGCTCCGATGGTTTCATTTGAAGAGCCTTCTAAGACATCCTCCTTCATTGTTGCAATGATGGTTTCCTTTATCAATAATGCAACAGTGTACCTCTCTTATGCCTGAGCAGCTCTGTGAGTGTGAGAGAGAGAGTGTGTGTGAGAGAGAGAGAGAGAGAGAGAGAGAGAGAGAGAGAGAGAGAGAGAGAGAGAGAGAGAGAGAGAGAGAGAGAGAGAGAGAGAGAGAGAGAGAGAGAGAGAGAGAGAGCGCGAGCTGCTCTGTGGAGGGTTGGTGTGGACTTGACGGATCGAATGGCCTGCTTCCACACTGTAGGGATTCTACATTTAAAATGAAGATTTTAAGAATAATTGTGAGAAGAAAGTTTTCTCACACTAACTGAATCCCAGATTCTGCATTAGGCATCCATAATGAAGTTTACATATTTACCATTTTGGTCACCTCTCCAATTTTGGTTATGCATTTATGTAAAGAAGTCCTGTAGTAAATCAACTGCCAGGCAACATCTAATTCAGAGCACCAAATATCAGAAACAAAATAATGGGAGATGAAATCAATATTCTGTTATAAATGCCTGTGGATACATCAGCAAATTCTACAATATGACATTTTCCAAGTCTTTCAGAGCTCCAGGTTATTAAATTCCAACAGATGGAACAATGTGATATCCACTGAAAAAGTAAAATGTTCTTTCCACTGTATTCAGGCAATGGCTTGAGAATTTTGGCCACTGTCAGCAACGTTCCCACTCCTTAACAAGTAACTGGAATTCCAACACTATTAAAGCTGCGCTATTACCGTACATGGATATAAACATTCTACTTAGGCTTCCATACAAACTTATCCAATTTCTATGAAGAAACATAATTATCACTTTCTACTTTTACATTAGTTTCTTTACAGTTGGTATTTATACCTTGTTAGGGAGTACATTTCCACTTTCTCATCAAAGCTCAGTAAGCTTTTGATGTACAGTATTATTCAATACATTAATGACATCACAACCCAACATAAAAAAAATTAACGATATTACAAAAAGACTTCCGCTTTGCTGGTCTTACCTCAAGTAAAGAAGGCGGAGTGGGGGGAGAAGACAGGAAAGTGAGAGGCTGTAGAGGTGATGGGTGAACAGGAAGCTGCATTGGGGGTGGAACAGAGAGAATGGCTGCAAGGGGGATTAGAAAGAGAGAGTATCTGCAAGGGTGGGGTAGGGAAATGGGGGTACCTGTATGTTGGAAGATAAAATGGCTGCATGGAGGGTAGGGAGAGAGAGCAAGAGGGCGAGAGAGCAGAATTGCCTGCACAACATTTACAGGAATACAGTCATTTCTGATATAACACGATAGTTCCTTTCGTGTGCAATATAAGAAAATTGCGCAATAACTGCCACATTTAAAATGATGGAGACGGTTATAGCCAATACAGGTAGGGAAAGTTTGCATTCTACAAATAGCATTCTATAATTCTTCAATCACATTAAAACCAATTTGCATTGTAGAAACATGCATTACATCAGATCCGACAGTAGTGCAGTTACGTAAGGAGCGTGTGAAAAGACAGAGTGGCTGCTTGGGGGTCGGCCTGGGTGAGTGGAGAGGAGAAAGAGGACAACAAAGAGAGAGAGAGGCTGATGTTGTGGGAGGGTGGAGAGAGGGGGAAAGAGACGGAGGTTGAGACAGCGAGAGAGGAAGAAGCTGCAGGAAACTGGTAGAAAGGAAGGCTCGGGATTTGATTAATTACTGACCTCAGAATGAAGGCGCCCCTAGGTCTCAGCAATTATAATTGATTAACTCAACTAACGCATACATTAAGAAGTAGGTCAACAGAAATGCAATCATGATACTTCAAAATTCGCAGAATAGATGCATTCCAATGAGAAAAATATTCCCAGTGAAACTCCCATCATCTGTGGTTAACTACAAAGCATATAAATTGCACAATGATGGGTGGCAGGTAAAAAGATGGGACAGAATACAAAAAGACAGCAAACATTGATGAAAGAATTAACATGGAGGACATAAATTAAAGCAAGCTAGTCGTAAGTATGAAAACAGATATGAAGTTTCTATCAATGTTTAAAGAGAAAAAAGCTAACGAAGTGAATACTGGTTCTATAGAAAGTGAGTCTGTAGAATTAATAATGGAAAATAAGATATAACATGTCTTCAATAACATAATGGCATGGGGATAGAAGATTACCTAGCTAACAGGACACAGACAGTAGGCATAAGTGGATTTTTTTTGGTTGGCAAAATATAACGAATAGTTGGTATGTGCCAGAGGGATTGGTATTTACAATTAATGTTAATGATTTAAATCAAGGGAATATGGGTCTAGTTGCTAAATATACTAATGATGCTAGGTAGGAAAGTAATTTGTTAAGAGCGTGTGAGGAAAAGGATAGATAGGCCAAGTGGGTGAGCAACAGCTGACAGATGGAGTATAAAATGGGAAAACATGAAATTGTCCATTGTAGAAAACAAAACCAAAATTTAAAAAAAGTATATTATTAAAATGGTGACAAAGCTTTGAGATGCACAGGGATCTGGATGTCCTAACGTATGAATTGCAAAAAGTTAGTATTTAGGTACAATAAGTGTTATGATCCCAGCTACTGGTGTCACCACAGAAGGTGGATTCCAACATGAAACCTAGTTTATCAGATCATATGTTTATTTTTAGTTTTAATTAACATGATGGTTAATCACAAACGTGGACGAGGTTACAAATTTTCTTTAACATCAGTGTGATGTAGGTCAACCAACAATGCTGTTAGGGAGAGAATTCCAGGATTTTGACCCAATAACACTGAAGAAACAGCAATCTATTTCCAAGTCGGGATGGTGAGTGCCTTGGAGGGGAACTTGCAGTTGGTGAGGCCTTCATGAATTTCTGCAGTACTTCTTATAGATGCACTGCTGCTAATGAGCATCAGTAGTGGAGAAACTGTGCTAATCAAGCTGACTGCTTTATCATGGATGGTGTCTACATTCTTGAGCAATGTTGAAGCTGCATTCATCCACACAATTGGGGCGTATTCCGTTACACTCCTGACTTGTGCCTTGTAGGTGTTGGAAAGATGTTGAGGACTCAGGAAAGTTACTCAGTGAAGCAGTCTGGCCTCTGATCTGCTCTTGCAGCCATTGTACATAGAGTCGGTCATACACATATACCACAAAGAAATGGCTAATGCAGTTTAGTTTCTGGTCAATGGTAACCCCTGCCCCCACCAGATTTTGATAGTGGGGAACTTAGTGATGATAACTCCATTGATTGTGAAGGTGCAATTGTTAAATTGTCTCTTATTGGAGATTGTCATTGCCAGGCATGCATGTGGTGTAAATTTTACTTTCCACTTGTCAACCCAAGGCTGGATATTTGTCTGCATTTGGACATGGAATGCTTCACTAACTCAGAAGCTGCAAATAATGCTGAACAATGTGCAGTCAGCAGTGAACATCCCCACTTTTGATCTTGTGATGGAGGGAAGGTAATTGATGAAGCAGCTGAAGGTTGGGCCTAGGGCACTATCCTGAGGAACTCCTGCAGAGATGTCCTGGAGCTGAGAATAGTGACCACTAACAACCACAATCATTTACCTTTATGCCAGATATGAATCCAACCAACAAAAAGTTCCCCCCAATTCCCACTGACTTCAGTTTTGCTAGTGCTCCTTGATGCCACTCTCTGTCAAATGTGGCCTTGTTATCAAGGCAGTCGATCTCACCTCACCTCTGGACTTCATCTCATTTGTCCATGTTTGAACCTAGGCATAAAGAAGTCAGGAACTCAATGGTCCTGACAGAATCCAAACTGGGCATCAGTGAGCAGGTGCTGCTTGATAGCACTTTTGATGACAACTTCCCTCACTTTACTGATGACCGAGAGTGGACTGTTAGGGTGATACTTTGCCGGGTTGGATTTGTCTTGCTTGTGTACATGATATGCCCAAGCAATTTACCACATTGTTGGGTAAATGTCAGCTTTATAGTTATACTGGAACAGCTTGGCTAGACATGCAGCAGATTCTGAAGAACAAGTCTTCAGCATTATAACTAGAATGTTGTCAGGGTCCATAGCATTTGCGGTATCCAGCGGCTCCAACTGTTTCTTGACATCAAGTGGAGTGAATCAAATTGACTGAAGACTGGCATGTGTGATGTTGGGGACCTCTAGAGATGGCCTAGATGCATTGCAGAAAGCACCACCAAGCTTTATGTGACAGCACCTTCCAGCCCTGCAACTTCTACAGTCTAGTAAAGAAAGGACAGCTAATTAGGGATGAGCAATAAAGGTGGCCTGTTCATAGGTGCTCAAATGCTAAGAATGAAAATAAAGTTTTATGACTTCCAGAAAAGCATTAGGTATTAAGAAACGAAACTGAAAGAAATGGAAATAATTGCTTGCAAGTGTTTGTTTGAGCTGTTATTGACTCTTATGATGTATGTGGTTTTAAAAAGTGCCTGAAGGCCTTGGTAAAACGGTCACAAACCGAGCTTTGCCCTGGAAATTGTGATCTTCTCCATTTTCAAAATTCTCTCTCTGAATTTTGGCTTCCTGCTTCTGTGAGAGAAGGCAAGAACTAGAGAAAGGGCAAATGGTTATGAAATTTGATGCGGACATCCTCGAGTATTCTGGTAGACTGCGGAAAAGAAAAATACGCCATTGCACGCTGCATCAGGCAAACAAAACATCAAAAAGCTGGATGTGAAGCATATCAGCCAACAGAAAAACTGGTAGAAGTTGAACTGTCCATAGCATACCAATACAGTACCAAACAGTCATTGACCTCATTTATGGGAGAAAAGTTGGTCTAGAATGGCTATGTTGCTTTTTCTTTTGTTACAATATATTTTACTATATAAATCCCGAGAGCCTCCAATCATCACTCTGCCAAATCTATTCAAAGCAGCAATCATATCACAGTCCAATCACTTGAAAATTCCAAATTCTTATGTTTCCTTATCTGCCTTTTTACTTACAAGTCCTCATTTTGACGTGAAATGTCACTTGTCAGGATGCTACATTTCTCGTCACCATTTCATTTTTTTTTAAACAGGATAAAATAGATCACAAGAGACTGTATTTGGCTCAGGTAGTAAGAATTCCTTCATGAGGGTCCCCAACAATATAAAAGGCAGAAGGCATTACTGTTAAGGCACACCAATGATTAGCTAAATTGGACTCAGCAGGGGAGAAAAAACAAAAAATGCAATATGGTTTTACAAATTGACTCTCAGTACTACACTGAGTTCTTAATGAAGCACCAGCTGTAAAAGATGTATTGTTTTGTGAGAAGCAAAATCTGGGCTACAATATTACCACAATTTACACAATATCAACAAACCAACACTTATTGAACTTTACCTGACTGGAATACATATCTAGCCAGGCCTTGCATCAGCTCAGCTGGCCAGGTTGGCGGCGCTGTTTCCCCAGTTTCTCGTCTTAGCCGGAAGGTCAGTTCAAAACCAAAACCACTTGGTCCTTCCAGTCCTGTAAATCTAAATAAAAAACAACTGTCTTTAAGAAACTTAATAATTCTTTATTTATCTGCTCATTATAACTGTTACTAGGCAAAATGAGCATGCACCTTAAGTTATATTCAAAAAAAAATTAAAGTGAAAAAGACAACAATGCTACCCAATTCAAATTTTGCTTGTATTTAGAACAAAGATGCTGAAAACACTGACATTTGCAGAAAGTTATTTTTATTACAGTTGTAACATAGTAGGTTTGGGGAACTTAAGAAAATCAATTGATCAGTGAAATTATTTTAGCTACAGAATTTTATAAAAATCTTGTATCAAGCAGTAAAGTTAATGGCATAAATTCCCACACTATCACGCATATTTTTCGATTATTTTCTTCCTTGACAGAGGGCATGAATAATAGTGAAGGAATACTATATTGGCAACCAGGGAAAAAGTACGCCCATCTGATACAGGACCTACCATTTATAATGGAAATTTTGTCAGCTTTAGATGGCTATTGTAACCTGTCAGCATTGCCAGCAATAGTGAATTCCAAAACTGTACAGCCATTCAAAACCTAATCTGAATAGTTAAAGTTTAAATGCACAATTTATTTAAAATGGATAAAAAAAGACAAACGTCTTCTGCCAGTTCTGCTATTGTGACATAGTGCACTGCTTAAGTATTTATTCAAATTATTTACCAAACTCAAACCTGGAGTTGCTGTCATTGTCCATCACAAAGACAGTGAGAAACCCAATTTTATTTCATAGCTCACTATTACCTTGAAGGAAATTACACGTTACATTACCTGGATTTGGTGCATCAGGAGACAGTCACATGCCTTAGATTAATTGCATCAAATTTTGTCCATGGTCAGGGACAGGATGGTCTGACTACAAGTGAGGAATTTAGCTTTGGAGGAGTCTTGGCCTGTTCCCTTATCCAATAAGTATGAGGTTCTTGTTCCCAGTGCGGGTATGGCAAAGAACGCAGGGAAGATGAGCAATAAGACCAATGTATTATGGTACAGACCTCCATTCAAGTTAGGGAAGAAAAGAGAAATGTAGTAACAAATTAGGGATAGCATAGTTAGTGGAGTAACTGCTGTTCTCTGCAGTGAGGACGGAGAGTCTAGAAGGCTCTATTGCCTACCTAGTGGCAAGGTAGGTTCAGGACATCTCTTCAGGGCTGGAGGAGAACTTGGACTGGGAGGGGAAGGACCCAGTTGTCGTGGTCCACCAATGACATAGATAGGACTAAGATTCAGGCTCTAGCGAGAAATTACTAGCATATCAGAGCTAAATTCAAAAGCAGAACTACAAAGGTAATAATTTCAGATTACCTTCTAAACTATGTATAAAGTAGCGTTTACAATAAATAAGACGAGAGAGGTAAATGCATGGCTCAAAGATTGGAGAAATAGTTTCTGATTGATGGGACACTGGCACCAATTTTCCAGTCAAAAAGGACTCAATGCAAACAATGAATCACTTAGGCTGCCAAGGAGAGTATCCAAACAAAAACTAAGGTACACAAAGCAGTAAAAGCTAGCAGTAGACCAGAAGATTGGGAATATTTAGGAACCAGCAGCAAATGGCTAAAAAGCTAATAAAAAGAAAGAACTTAGTTATGAAGGTGAATTGGCAAGAAATATTAAAACAAACAGCTAGAGTTTATACATTTTATGAAAAGTAGGAGAGCAGCTAAAGTGAGAGTTCGTTTTTTGGAAGATGCAACTGAGGAATTGCTAATGAGGAGCAGGAAAATGGAAGATCTAAAATTTTATTTTGCAACAATCTTCATTATGGAAGACATTATAAACATCCAAAGGATCAGATAAGCAAGTTGTTAATGGGAAGAAGGGTCTCATAAGAATCTCTATCATAAGGGACAAAAATTTGACAACTCATGGGGCTGAAGGCAGACAAGACTCCAGTACATGGTGGCCTTCATCCAAGGCTTTTAAAGGAAGTGGCTGTAGAAATAGTGGAGCCATTGATTGAAATATTCCAAAATTCACTGGATTCCAGGAGGTTTCCAGTAGACTGGAATTGTTCATGTGACATCCCTATTTGAGAAGGGAGAGAGAAACAAAGCAGCAAACTATAAACCAGTGAGCCTAACATCTGTAGCTGAGAATATGTTAGAATTCACTACTGAGGAAAGAGAGCATTTAGAATAGCTTAATGTAATCACGTTAAACATTGTTTTGTGAAAGGGAAGTCATGTTTCACAAATTTGCCGAGTTCTTTGAGAATACAACAAGAAAAGTTGATAAAGGGGAACAGGTAGATAGAATGCATTTGCATTTCCCAAAGCTACAGAAAGAAAAATTTATTCCTAGGATTCACTAGGATAATCCTTGACATGGAGGAATTGTCCTATGAGTAAAGCCTAAACAGGCTGAGACTCTACTCACTGGAATTTAGAAGAATGAGGAGTGAAATATATAGGATTCTTAAGGGGCTTGACAGGGTAAATGCTGAGAGGATATTCCCCCTCCTGGGAGAGTCTAGGACCAAAGGGTATGGTCTCAGAATAAAGGATTGCCAATTTAAGACTGAGATGAGAGCGGTATGGTGGCTCAGGGCTTAGCACTGCTGCCTCACAGTGCCAGGGACCCAGGTTCGATTCCACCCTCGGGTGACAGTCTGTGTGGAGTTTGCACGTTCTCCCTGTATCTGCGTGGGTTTCCTCCGGGTGCTCCGGTTTCGTCCCACAGTCCAAAGATGTGCAGGTTAGGTGGATTGGCCGTGGTAAATTGCCCATATTGTTCGGGGATGTGTAGATTAGGTGGGTTATAGGGGAATGGGTCTGGGTGGGATGCTCTGTGGGTTGGTGTGGACTTGTTGGGCTGAAGGTCCTGTTTCCACACTGTAGGGATTTTATATGAAATTCTTCTCAAAGCATTAAGAGTCTTTGGAACTCTCGCCACAGACAGCTACGGGGGCAGAGTCCTTGTATATATTTAAGGTTCAAATAGATTGATTCTAGATGGGCAAGGGAGTCGAGGGTTACGGGAAAAGGGCAGAAAAGTGGACACAAGGAATGTCAGATCAGCCATGATCCTATTGAATGGTCACACTTCAACACATATGCGACCCACAAATTTTGAAAGGAAGCCACAAAGATAACTGTCAATATGCACAATATCTTCAGTGAGCCTAGCAATCCCAGAAAATCTAAAAAAACAAATTTAAAGATCAAATTCTTTGTTGCACACATGTTCTGGTATATAAATGCACTTCACATTATTTTAAATACTGCAATGGCCATGAAGCATACAGTAAAAATGTAACAGGTTTCTTTTTAGTGTTAAAGGTATAATAGTTCCTCACTAAATGCAAGTATATAATTAAGTCATAGCTGAAGTTGTCGGTTTCCAAGAAGTAGCTCAAAATGTATCCCTAATTTATCACCCACCCACCCCATGCAACTGCCACACTTTTAATGCTGAAAATTCTAATATAAAACATTAAGCATAGAAACATCTTTTAAATTGCATATTTCACAATGTCATGATTGAAGTTATCAATCAATTGTATTTTTAACGCATTGAGTACTTTAAGTCCTCCACCTCTGCTAACTTGATATGATTGCCATAAGCTCAAAAAGTATGCTCAATCTGGACTGCACTGACAGCATTTGCAGTGTACCTTGAATTCAAAGATAGTGTCAGTCAGCCACACTGAAGGAGTATTTCTGCTCAAAGGTTTTAAAATATTAGTTTTTCATAATGAGTTTTTCACGTAATTAAAAATTATGGCATTTTAAAATAGAGAAGCTGAATGAATACCGGTGACATAATTACATTTTGTGTTTATGTTTGATAAACATAAAAGTTTACCTCAATGTTTATACTTGAGTCAATCTTTGCATCCTAAAAGTAGCATTTATAGCAATATTTAAATGTCTACTCTCTTACAATCGTAAACATTGTAAATTCTAACAGCTATGCATGATAGATGATAAACCATTCTTTCCACATTCACTTTCCCAGGAAGAAGCTAATTGAATGTTGTAGTAGCAACCTCAGCTTGTTGAGTAATCACAGTTGAGTAATTAGTAATTACCAAACACAAAACACAGCTAACCCCCATTTCTCTTTCCTCAGCATCACTAAATACTGAAATTTACACTTGATCAGCTAGGGGTTGCAAGATAGAAAGGGGAACATCCCAACAAAGTGAGTTGCAGCAAATGGAACTCGCCCATAGTTATGGTACCAAAACCAGATGGTAACCAATGACTGTATGTGGACTATTGAAAAATCACTGCAATTATAAAATCCAATTAGTACCCTACATCAAATTTGGAAGACAGCATTGAGAAGGTGGGACAACCAACTTTTATTTCTAAGCTGGACTTATTCAGGGGATACTGGCAGGTACCTTTATCCAAACAAAATGAAGAAAATTTCGGCATTCATGACACCAAATGGACTTTACTAGTTTCAAGTCATGCCATTTACTATGGAGAATGCACCAGCCACATTGCAAAGATGAAACAATAAGGTCATTTCAGGATAACCCAATTGTGCATTGTACAGAGACAGAGACAGAGACAATCTGGTGATTTTTAGTCACATAACGAAGGAACATTTGGAGCATCGAGCAGAATTGTTGGATCAAAGAGATTCTATAAGTACATTAAGGGCAAAAGGGTAACTAAAGAGGAAATAGAGCCTCTTAAAGATCAACGTGGCCTGGAGCCGCAGCAGATGGGTGCATCAGGGGAATAAACAGTGATATATTGAAAAGAGTTCATATTATAGAAAAGGTGGTGCTGGAGGTCTTAAAATGCATAAAGGTAAATAAATCTCCAGGACCTGATCAGGTGTTTCCCAGAACTTTGTGGTAGGCTAGGGAAGAGGTTGCTGGGCCCCTTACTGAGATATTTGTATTAACGACAGCCACAGTTGAGGACTGGAGGTTGGTTAATGTGGTGCCATTATTTATAAAAGGCTATAAGGAAAAGCCAGGGAAATATAGACTGGTGAGCCTTATATCAGTTGTAGGTAAGTTGTT